TTGGAGCCTGTTCAAAGTAGAGCCAATTATTAAATATTCGGTAATTTTGTGAGCCAGGTATTAAACTGTAGTTTGTAATCAGCGTTAGTGGAAATATATACACCATAGAAATTGGCAAATGTTATTAATAAGAGTTTTTTATTTCTTTTTCTTTTGTTTTGTTTTGTTTTTGGAGAGCTGGTTTACAGGCATGCCATTGGATGCCAGCTCAAATATAAAATCTCAAATACTAAACAATGATGTTCGTTATGAGAATTCGAGATTTTTATTTCATTCTAGTATTCAACTTTACCTGAGTAGGCAAATATTAAGTTTATGAGTAAGTATACTAAGTACTGTGTTTGAGTGTATGAACATTAGAACAAACACGAGTAGGCTGTCATTATAAAAATACATATTATGTGAATATACACTCAATCACAGTTGTCTGCATCCAACATCATAAAGAACCTGAAAAATCAGAGACAAATATAGCACACTAACAAATTATATACTAGAAAAATTTTAAGATCAGAGAATGTAGAAAAGTTTAAATCATTATGTGTAGTTGCCATTCTTATGACTCAGGAACTCTGGTCTCATAGAGTATAAAACAAAATCTGCAAAAGCATGTTTTCAAAATAGTATATATAAGTTCAGTTTGTCTATTCAAATTTTAATTAAAAAAATTTACAATGATTAATTCTGTTTGTCTCCCCCTATTAGATTGGAAGCCTTAAAAACCACCTGATAATTAGTAGGGACTCAATCAATGAAAAAAATATATATGGACCCACAAACTTTTTAAACCAGGTATGGGTGTCTGTCTTCTCCTGATTCAATTAATTGTTAAAAAAGTTTGCTTGCTAACAAATGACAAATCAGCTTACCTGAATTACAATGAGAAGTTAACATGGCTTATAGATTAGCTTGACCAGTTTTCTGATGTAGACTCAATTAAAAGAAAAGCAAACATAGAAACAAAGTAGAAAAAAGTGAGATCTATTCGGCATAAAGGAAAATTGAAGCACAGAAATATTAAAATAGCTGCTCCCAGCCTCTTTGATCAGAAATATTTAATGTTAGAAATTAATTATATACCCAGTCATTCACTAACTTGATAGCCTCTATTTATCATATAGTCCTAATATTCACAGCACATATTGCAAGACCTGCTTTCAAAGATAATTGTGATCACAGTATCATGATCATCAGTGACAAGGCACAAGCATCAGTTTAACACAAATCATGCTAAAGAAGAGCAGTAGGTGTTCAAAAGGATTCTGAAACCTTGTTTCAACTTCACAGCATGTTTTTAATTTTATTTCCTTGGACATTTTAAAATGATATAAAAAGAGAGAAAGTTTTACTTGAAAGTAAATATGTGCGCGCACGTGTGTGTGTGCGTGTGTATGTGTGTGTGTGTGTGTGTAAACAATAAGAATTTAAACATATTAAAATGTTTGATAGCTCTACTGGTGAATTCTCATAAATTTTAATAAAACTAAACACACTTTTTTGGATTTTGTTTGGTAATGTGTCCTAATTTCTTACTGTGCATATCAAGTTTCTGATATAGATTTGTTTTTCTTCAGCTGTGTTTTAAATTGTAGAAAACAGAGATATAGCAGAAATACTAACAGATCTTTAACTATAGAGATGCTACTCTAGGCGACACCATAATCACATTAGATTATACATACTATAGAATGAATACTTGTCTTCTTAAAATTCCTATATTGAAACTCTGATACTTAATGTGATGGTATTTGAAGATGAGGCTTTTGGGAAGTAATTAATTGATCATGAGCAGGGAGCCCTCATGTTGTATTATTGCCTTTTTAAGAAGAGGCAAGGAAGTGCTTGCTTCCTCTCTTTCTCTTTGCCATGTGAAGGCACAGAAGAAGTTGGACATCTATCTGCAAACCAAGGAGAGAGCTCTCACCGGGAACAAAATCAGCAGGCACCTTGATCTTGGACTTCCCAGCCTCTATAACTGGGTGAAATAAATTTCTCTTATTTAAACTATCTAGTTTATGGTGTTTTGTTACAGCAGTCTGCCTGAACTAAGATAATATAATACACAGCAAAGAGGATTTTGTGGTCAGGCTGCTGTGACTTTCCCTAAGTCATAGTAGATTTGTCAGAAATCAATTAAATTTCATAGTTAGGATATTACTTTCTAAATATGAAATGTTAAATTTCCTGATCATTCATATTTTGGAAGGACAGTTTATTTCTAAATGGTAAATATAAAAGATCAAGTGACTTCAAATATTTTTATAAAACAATGAGTAATACTAATCAAAATATCTGTTTTTTATGCCAAGCCACTAGGATTAAAAAAAAATTGTAAATGTAAGTAGAAGGAATGTGGTTTTGTTTAAATTTAGTTCCCGTAGACCCCAAGTAGTAATATATGATGAAGTCTCAATAAATAGGTTTGCCTACTGCCTGTAGGATTCAAATAGATCGAACTTTGAAAATGCGATTCACCAAGAAGCACATTACAAACAAATTTATTTTGCAGTACGGATCAACAGAGGTGTGAAATTTCTGTCCTTTATAGTTTGTTATTATACAGATAGTATCATATTGATAATTGTTCTTGAAAGGAGGGGTGAAACTTTTAACATATGAACACCCATTTGTCAATTAATTAGAAGATTTTTATTATGGTATTTCCTGTGAATTATTATTTTAAATCTAATAATGTCACCATCATACAATAACACCTTTGTAAATACAAACAAAACTTGGCAACTATGTTAAAAGCCTCTCACTAATCACTGAAATAACTTTAAAAAATATTTTTTCTTAATTTTCCTATCATCCTCTGATGAAAATATTATACTTCTATAGATTTGTAGAGAATCTTTTTTCAAAAAGGATACAAAATAAATATATTTTCATCTAACCAGTCAAAATAACTTTATGAAAGTAGATTCAATTTTCTTCAGCATAAAATGGTTTCTATGTATTTAGTAGGACTTAAGTGTGTGATTGAATATGAATTTATAAAAAATGATTAAATTTTTAAAAGAAGCATCTAATTTTATGTTTGTGAAGGTTTTGTCTTTTTATAAAAGCTTGCATATAAAATAGACAAATCAGCAAGAAACAAAAATATTGTTTTATTGCTTTAATATGCTAAAATATTTGGATTATTTAAGAAGATAATTATCTTTTCCATTTCTATCATCATCACCACCAATAACCAAACTCTAGTCATGAACCACTTCCCCAAATGTCTCTTTGCTTTAAATTCTACACAAAGCTACCAAAACTCCCATTCAACCAAAAGGTAGCTGATTCAGTTTGAGTTAATAGTAATTAAGAAAACTAAATGAATGACTTTTGAAGAGCCATAAGCATGCTTCTTTTGAAAGTATATTGTTATAATTTCAAACCATGGATGACAATTCCATTAATTTAAACCACACTTTGTTTCTTAATAGATTCCAAGTTTTGTGTGGAGTCATATATACTTAGTAGCCACTCAGTGTCAAAATCATAGGAAACTTATTCCATCTTTTAAATAATGTTTATGGGTATTTTTTTTCCTCTCAAAAAGAATTCTGATTCCCAGTTTATACATTGATCAAATATTCAAATAACAGAGCTCTGATTAGCTAGGGTGGACTAATCCACTGAGAGCCATAGTCTTTATAGGAAGCATACTCATACTTAGCCATGGAAATAGAGAAAACTTAATTAAAAATTACCAATTTTTATTTTCCTTTCCTACACAGTTTGTTATATTTTTTTTTCATTGTTTTAAAAGTTTCCAATACTGGAAACTAATTTAAAATAAAACAAAAATGTCCACAATCTCACATTTCTTCTGCCTTCACTTCTCTCACCCTGATGTGCATCTATTACAATCATATCAATATTGCAAGACCCAGTTTAAATCCATCGACTATAATGCCTTTGTGATCCCTGCTCCCTCTCTTCTCCAAGTGAGGTATGACCTCTCCCTCTTCTAAGTTTTTGTATACTTGGTGATCCTCTATGCTATCCATCACAGTATGTCTTGTTAATGCAACTTATTTGTTGTTTATCTCACATTTAGTTTGTGGGTCCTGGAAGTGAGATATGTATATCTCAAGCATATAATATTTGTTGAATAAAGTAATAAAGAAACAAATCAATGGGTTGCTCTGATTAACTATACTCTTTTGACCCTATATGCCCTTATATTACCTCCTCACCAAAAGGAAAAGTATATTAAACAGATTAGTTCGTGTGATACTTGAAGAGAGGGTTGAGAGGCCATATGACAAACTAATAGGGGACATAGGGAGGGCTTATAAAATATTATTTGTGTTTCATTACCCAATGGTCATGAAATTTTGAAAAACAGCATTCTCATCATGATAATGGTAATGATCTAAATTATTAAAAATATTTGCTAAATGTTTCACAGTGTTTAATCTATATTTTATTAACATTATCTCTAGACAGCCAGTGAAATAAGTAGGATAGATTATTACTATGACCTTTATTTTGCTGTTGAAGAAACAAGTTCACGCAGGTTAAATGTCATATCCAAGGTCATTCAGCTCTTAAGTGGCAAAATCAGAACCAGAACTCAGGTCTTTCTATCTATAAGACCTGTATGGTATATATTATCCTACAACTGCCTTTCAAACACCAAAAGGATGTACAGTGTTTACTTTGTTTCACTCTAGGAATGGGAGTGATTTTTGTATACTTTTCTCTGTCATTACTCTGGCCACCCCTCCCACACACGGTGCTCATGATTGCAAGACAGGAAGCTAGAATTAAAAGTTACATCTGTGGTCATGGAATGAAAACAAACAGCAACAACAAAACAAAAACAAACAAACAGAAATACCTCAGTACGCCTAGTCAGAAATGAAATTCATTAATACTATATGGGAAGCAATTGAGTCAATGAGCTATGTTTATTCTGAAGACATAGTGGTATTGCTAGTATTTTATCAAAATTTACATGTAATTAATGATGTTATCCTTTTCTAAATCATGACTCTTACCTTTATAACAGAGGCCCCAGCTCTGGAGAGTGGACTGTGAATCTGAGCTGCAGCAGCCATGTTGGCAATAGTATTTAGATGGTTCATCTGATTCATTGCCATGGCAACTGATGCAGGAGGTAAGCTGACGGGAAGTAAGGGATGAGGCATCATCATAAATGGCAGATCCAGCCCTAAAAGAGACAGTGCATGTTAAATTATTACATTTGTTATGTTATTTGGACAAGGGAAAATCACACTAAAGTTGATGCTATGAAATAGTAGAAAAAAGTAAATTTGTTCTTGTTGGATTTTTTTTAAATCAAATTTCATCATATTCTACTATATCTTTGGGCAGTTAATATTACCCGTGGGATTTAATATTGTTTATAATTTTTTAAATGTTCATATATCCACAAACTTATTTATCAATATCCCTTTTTCTTTCTCTTATTCTCAAAATATTTATAAGGTGCAATCTTTTTACCCATAAAAAAATTTTAAAACAAACATCATTTTGTTAAACAGAAAGAAGTAACTAGATTTTTAATCATTATAATATGCTGATGTGTCAATAGTTTCTCTCTTAACATTTTACTTAGGAGACATAATAGTGGTGCTAGTAAAGACAGGATATAGATTCTCTACATTCAAAATTACTGAAGAAAGTAAGACTTGGAATGTGTTCTACCTTTTAGTTATAAATCTGTAAAATTTATAAATGCTTATAGCTCCAATTTGAAGCTTTCGACAATAAGGAATAACCCCCCTATCAAATATCAATGTGTTTTCCAGTTTAATAGCAAATTGTAACATTTTTGAATTGTATCTGGAATTATTTGTTTTCTAATGTAAGGTGAAATCATTTTCACACATTTTAAATTACTTAAAGGATTATCTCTCAAGTACTATCCATATTTACACTTGTGGTGGCTACAGATCTGTCATCATGAAAAAAGTAACAAATTAAAATGGTTGTCTACTTATCACTTATAAGATTGGAATTTGTGAGAAAACACCTTTGAGCAGAGGCTAGGGAAAGTTAGTCTAACATTATGGATGTTAATATGGGTATGATGAGTAAACCACAGGACTTTACAATGTATTTTAAACTATTGCCTCAACAGTAATCTTGCGCTCTTTTGGACAGAAGCCCAGAAACCAGTAATCTTTAACAGATGTTCTAAAACATTCTTGCCTATAATTTTCCTAAATTGTTACAGATTATAGAAATTCTACGACGGGCAATGTTTATGTTGGTTTTACACACAATTATCAACTATTAATAACATCCGTTTTCCTCTTTGCCATCCTCTCATTTTTTCATTCTTCCCATATCATAACAGCAAGTGAACAATGATGAATATACTGGACATATACTCAGAAGCCCCCTAAATCTCATTCCTCAATCAACACTAACAGTAATACAGACAAACACTGAAAACATATTTTTAAGACAAAAAAAAAGGAGGCTAAAAGGAAGAAATACTATTAATTGATTTGAGATACACCTCCTGGGTTCAGCAATGATGGTTGAATTAAAGTCATTAACAAAAATAATTCAAAGGCAATTCAATGCAAACAAACAAACAAAAAAACACACTTTCAGATATGGCAGGTCTCATATAACACTAAAGTGATCACCTCAATTAAAGGTACTCCTAAATGAAAATAATTACCAATATTCTGATCGAGACAGCCACAAAATGTATTGTTATCAGAATTACAAAAGGATTTTTAAAAAGCTGAAATTTAAATTCTGTGTGGAATCTAAGAAGGGGAACATACTCTGTACTCCCTATGACCCCAAATCTCCAAAGAATATTAAGTATTTAAAAAATTTCCCCTATTACTTCACTTATGGCTCACTCTCTCTAAATCCCTTTTAGGGGCAATCTACAAAACCAAACTTTTCAGTTATGAAACATTTTTTACTCTGATTATTAATTATCAGAGAAGCCTCAAAAGAGTGCAGACACTGAATTCAAAATGGCCTCTGTACCCCCTTTTAAACTAGAACTGTATTTGCAGTTGGCCTTCTAAAATTATTTAGTTACATATAAATTTTTATACTTTACTCATCATACAGCTTTGCTATAATGATGGAATATTCTATAAAATGTATTAAATTAATCACCATTTATCTTTCCCCTAACACCTTCACTTTATGCATAATAGCAATCATCAATGACCTAAATAGGCTTCTATATATAGTGCATTGTATATTCCCTCTCTTTTATCACAAACTCAATGACAGACTTCAATTCTTTGTGTACTCAGTGTTTTAGTAGCAAATTGATCAAACTGTAAATGAAAAGTAACCATCAGTGCCTCCTTTTATTGCTCAAAATGCTTAAATAAGCCTTTGTTCAATTTACACTTCCCTTAATGGTATAATAATCTTTCCTCATTCTCTAAGATTTTCAGCCTCAATCAGACACCATCTGGCCATATCATATCAACTCATCTGCCTTCTTACAGTCCAATTGACATGCAAACTATATGCAAAGTACAAACAGAAGTTAACTGTCCATGGACAGTTTTAAAATATAATTTATCAAACATTTCGAATGACCACAAAGGACTTAAAAGTTACTCTTTCAGATCATGACCTGCAATAACTGTCAATTGACTATAACACTCTATACTCTAAGCTAATATTTACATTACAGGACAGTTTAACAGTGACTCCACATGAGTTGTACATGCAAAGCATATGCAAATATTGAATTATGTAAGTAAACCTTTTCCTAAAGCTGAAAACATTAAATTGAGAGCCATTGACAGTCCACGAAACTCCAGCAATCTGGCTCATTTAGTGACATGCCAGAAATGTACAGATACTTTCAATTAGTCTGGTAATGAAGATACTTTTTTTCAAAGTCATCAAAAAAATGGGTTATCTCTTTCCTGTCAACCTCAAGGACATGATGTAAGCTACTATAAGCATTATTCCTAACACATCTTAGTGTTCTGCCAACTACAAAACTTTTATGTAAGTTCATGGCACCACCTCTTCCTAGCCATAAAGAACCAAACGTCAGTAACACTCTAATTCTCCCTCTAAAATCCCACATTCATTCAATTTCCAAGTCATGCTGACCTCCATAATATCTGCCACTTCTCCAGTCAGGCATCAATTCCATGGTACTTGGTTGGTATCCTGTCTTCCCGGTAGTTTTTCCTATGCCATTTCATTTGCTTTTCCACTTCAGTCTTAAGACTTTAGTGGCTACTTACTGTCTCCAGAATAAACTATAAATTCTTTGGTTTCATATGAAATTACTCTCCTAGCTTTGATATTTCATTATATTCCTCTATGTATGCTGTACTCCAGATCCACTGGACTATTTGAAGCTCGCTACAGTTTAATTCACCTTAGTCTTCAGTCTTGTTCATGCCCCTCTCTGGAATCTACTTCTCTAATCATATTTTGGGGGAATAGTAAAGGTTCTCCACCTTTTGTAAAAAAATCAACAGACTGTTTTTAGAGCAGTTTTAGGTTTACAAAAAAATGAGGAGAAATTAGAGACTTTCCATATACTTTCTCTCCACCAGCAGTTTCCCATCTTGTTAACATCTTATATTAGTGTGGTACATTTACTATGATTGATAACTCAATATAGATACATTATTACTAAATACAGTCCATAGTTTGCATATGGTTCATTCTTTTATAAATTTTATTTTGTTATTTTCAAGCATACAGTACTTTGGTTAGACATTTATGTAGTTTATAAAATGATCCTCCTAATTGCTCTTTCTCTCCTCTGGCTCTCCACCTAGCCATTACATTAATGCTAACTACATTCCATATGCTGTGCTCCCTGTCCCTGTGACCATCTATCAACTAATTTGTACTTCTTTAATCCTTCACCATCTTTGTGTTACACATTCTATGGCATTTCACAAATATACAATATAATGTATCAGCCATTCCAGTATCATACAGAATAATTTCATTGTCTTAAAATCCCATGTGTTCTACCTACTCATTCTTCTTCTCTTACATTTGACTTTTGCTGTCTCTGGATTTACTTTTTCCTGAATGTCGTACAGGTGGATTCATGCACTATTTAGTCTTTCCAGACTAGTTTTGTTTCACTTAGCAATATGCACTTAAGATTCATCCAAGAATTCATAGCTCATTTGATTTTATTTCTAACTACTATCCCATGGTATGAATGTACCACAGTTTGGTTACTCATTCACCTGTTGAAAGGCATCTTCCTTGCTTGAAACTTTTAGCAATTACAATACAGTCACCATGGACATTGGTATGTAGAATTGTGTTTGGACGTAAGTTTTCAATTCATTTGGACAAATAGAAAAAGCTATATTTAGCTTTTTGAGAAATGGCCAAAATATTTTTTAATGCGCCTGTACCATTTTGCATTTCCATCAGCAATAAATGAGAGCTCCTGTTGCTACATATCCTTACCAGCAATTGATGTTGACAGAGTTTTGAATTTTAGCTGTTCCAATAGGGGTATCTCATTTTAATTTGAAATTAACTAATGACATATGATGTTGGACATGTTTCTATATGCTTATTTACCATCTTTATATCTCATTTGATGAGATGTCAGGACTTTTGCTCATATTTAATTGTTATTTATTTATTATCATTGAATTTTAAGAGTTCTTTAATAATTTTCTCAGTCCTCTATCAAGTATATGTTTCATAAAGATTTTCATCCACTCTGTAGCTTGTCTTTTCATTTTCTTATCAGTGTGTTTTATAGAGCAGCTTAAAAATTTTAATGTTTAAGTCCAATTTATCTTTTTTTTTCTTTAAAGGAACATGCATTTGATATTATATCTAAAAACTCACTGTCAAACCCAAGATCACCTAGATTTGTCTGATGTTATCTTCTTATAATTTTAGAATTTTGAAATTTACATTTATGACCGCTTTTGCCGTGTCCCAAATGTTTTGACATGTTATACTATCATTATCATTCATTTCTATGTATCTCGTGATAGCTCTTTTTATTTCTTCTCTGACTCAGTTATTCTTCAGTAGCATGTTGTTTAATCTCCATGTATCTGTGGTTCTTCTTGATTTGTTTTAGCAGTTCATTTCTACTTTCAAAGCATTTTGATCAGAGAATATGGTTGGTATGATTTCAACCCTCTTATATTTCTTGAGGCTATATCTATATGCCAGTATGTGGTCGATTCTTGAGAATGT